AACAGAGGGGAGAAGCTATATAGAAAATGTAGAATGGTAACAAGATATGGAATGGTATATAAAATGAACATGAATTTGAATTTGTGTCTGTACGAAGAGATGTAACCCGGGATCAAGCCGCTTTCAAAAAAGATGTTTTATGTTTTTATGTTTTATGTCTTGTTTGTTTATGTTTGTTTTTAAAAATCAATAAAAAAAATTCAAAAAAAAAAAAAAGTAAAGTTGGCAGTTCAGCAGTTTGAATCCCTAGCGCCTCGTAATGGAGTGAGCTCCCATTACTTGTCCCAGCTTCTGCCAACCTAGCAGTTCAAAAGCATGTAAAAATGCAAGTAGAAAAATAGAGACCACTTTGATGGGAAGGTAACAGCGTTCCATGCACCTTCGGCATTTAGTCATGCCGCCCACATGACCACGGAGACGTCTTCGGACAGCGCTGGCTCTTCGGCTTTGTAACGGAGGTGAGCACCACCCCCTAGAGCCAGGAATGACTAGCACATATGTGTGAGGGGAACCTTTACCTTTACCTTAAGAATTTAAATCTCTATACAGGTAGTCCTTGACTTATGGTAATTGAGCCCAAAATGTCAGTTGCTAAATGAGATGTTTGTTAAGTGAATTTCGCCCTGTTTTACAACTTTTCTTGCCACAGTTGTTACGTGAATCACTGCAGTTAAGTTAGCAACACTGTTCAGTGAATCCGGCTTTCCCGTTGACTTTGCTTGTCAGAAGGTTGCAAAAGGGAATCATATGAACCTGGGACACTGCAACCATCATAAATACGAGTCAGTAGCCAGATGTCTGAATTTTGATCACATGATCATGGGGTTACTTGCAATGGTCAGAAGTGTGGCAAAAAAAGCCACTTTTTTCAGTGCATTTGTAACTTGAAACGGTCACTAAATCATCATCTTCATTTAATGACCCCATAATCCCTTGCAGGCAACTGAATGAAGCTAGCAGAGTTTTTTTAATGGCCGGATGCCCTTCCTGTCACCAATGTGGAGTTTTGCTCAGCAGATACATTCTCAGTGTGCCCAGAGAGACAAATATCTGCCTCTACCCAGGATTGAACTCACAACCTCCTGATTGAAACAGCCACTAAATGAGCTGTTGTAAATCAAGGACTACCTGCAAATGATAAAACAGCCAGTAATCCTGATTTGGGATGATCACAAAAGAACAAACAAAAGGAAAAGTATCTTGTACTTTTCTACCCAAACGAACTGTGCTAATTTGCCTTTCTCCCATCTAACTCATGGCCTGTTCACACCTTTCCTGAAACGAAGATCAGCCTCCAATATTATCACTTCTTATATTTGCCAAATCACAATGCTTCATTTCTGGTATGTTTCATTATCATTTGGCTGAATCCAGTGGAGAGCTAATGACGGTAAACTAAACAGTTTTTTTTTAATACCAGTTGCAGACTTCATTAATTCTGTTAACTATGTTACTGAAATTCAATAAGTCCCCCAGGGCAAGGGTCCTTGGATGCATGTCAAAAACCCAGGTGGTCATCTATGAATCCCAACGTCCCACTGCTTTCTGAGTTAATCCAATTATAAATCCATTCTTGGCAAGTAAAACAAAGGACAGCATACGGAGACTTTTAGCCTTGTTTTAAGTGCCTTTTCCAACCTTAAAATGATGCTTTGAATCGAGCTAAAAGGTTCTTTGTTATGAGAACTTGGCCACCTTAAAGCTAATCCAAACCAATCCAAACAATAATTGAGATAATAAAGTTTAGTGTACCCTACTGGGTACAGTAATTGGAGGGATTCAAAGAGAAATTGTAGGCCTGCACGTTCCTCTAACCCTTTGAAACTTTCCTCTATGTATATCAGAGGTGGTATATTCAGCAGGTTCTGACCGGTTCTGAAGAACCGGTAGCAGAAATTTTGAGTAGTTTGGAGAACCGGCAAGTGCCACCTCTGACTGGCCCTGCTCCCATCTATTCTCTGCCTCCCATTGAGTCAGCCAATCAGCTTGGGCTCAGGAGGCAGAGGATAGATGGGATTGGCAGGGCCAGTCAGAGGTGGTATTTGCCAGTTCTCCAAACTACTCAAAATTTCCACTACTGGTTCTCCAGAACCGGTCAGAACCTGCTGAATACCACCTCTGAATTCCAGCCTTCTACAGAAGGAAGTTGTAGAAAAAAACATAACCATTTTGTCTAAAGAAAAAGACAGGGAGGGGGGAAATGGAATTCTAGACGCTTACAGAAAGATTCCACTTGTTTACATCCTTGGCTGACTAAGAGGAAGTGACACCATCTTCCCAATTTTTTTTTTAAAGAGCCACCCAGATGTTGGAGGGATTTAGAGTGTCATGGAGATTTTTCAAAAACATTTTCGCAGAGAAACTGTAGTCAGTTCAACAGCGTTTTGAGATCTGGTTGGGAAACTGAATTGAAGAAGTTTATAGCCAAAATAATGTGGGGGAGAGGGAAAGGAACACTAGATTTTAAACAATATACAAAATGGTGCTGAGTTAGTGACAGTCTCCCCATAATGTGGATGGATCAAATTCTAACATAAAAAAATAGGATCTATACATTTCCGGTTACTGGTGAGGGATTGTGCACCCTTCAAATAAAGATAATTTGTGAAGGAAGAAAAGGAGGAGACATTAGCCCATCTCTCTCTTATATGTTATTTCTTTATGAGCCCTGGTGGCACAGTGGTTAGAATGCAGTATTGCAGGCTAAATCTGCCCACAGTCTGGAGTTCGATTCTCATCGGCTCAAGGTTGACTCAGCCTTCTATCCTTCTGAGATTGATAAAAATGAGGACTCAGATTGTTGGGGGCAATACGCAGACCCTATAAACCGCTTAGAGAGGGCTGTAAAACATTGTGAAGCGGTATATAAGTCTAAGTGCTATTGCTATTTAGATGCACTCAACATTCTCCCAACAAGGAGGAAAAAACTATTGAATCCTGATGTGTCTTTTCCTTGTATCCAAGAAAGGTTTCTCCGTTGGATTTTGCAGATTCAAATTAGAAATGACAAAGCTCTTTCTCTGTGTGTGTAATAGACAAAGGCTCCAAAAGAGGGTTTCAAATAGTTTGACTTTATATGTTCAATTCGCTTATGAAAAAGCAACTTCCACAAGATGTGGAGATAACAAGAATTTGCATGGTGTCTAAGGGAAATTTCTCAGGGACTGATCATCCCTATTAATGATTCTGTTCTAAGGTTCTCTGTTCTAAGCAGAGAAAAATCTATGGGGTTTTTTTGGGGGAAGGGGCACTACTCATGTCTCTGCTGGAAGCGATTGGCTTGCAGTTGGTGGAAACATTATTCTGGCTTAAGTGAAAATAGGTTGGAAAGACCCATTCTGGAGTCTGGTTAGGATGTCTCAAAGGATCTAGCACATTAATAGATGTTTGGTTTGGAAAAAGTGAACAGCAAAATACATCCATAATTAGCAAAGTTGAAATACAGGAAAGTTAAACAAGAGGTAAAGTTGTGAATGGCCCATGTAACAAAATGGCATTGATATCTGACAATGTCGTCAATTCATCAACTCTTGGCACATGCCTTGCCATGGTGACCTCTTTTCCTGTATGCTTTACAGAAATTTAAGGAATAAAGAATATATAAAAAGTAGTCTTTTACTCAGTGGTCCTGTTGAAACACCTGAGACACAAAGAACTTGTTTGTAAAGACCAAGATCAACATTGCCCATTCGACCCTGCATTTAATGAGAACATGATCCAAAGAAAGTGATCAGTGTTGTAAAGTAAAGGAAATTATCTGAGAAATCTGTTGGATCTCTGAGCATCAATGACAGCCAAAGGAGAAGAGGGAGAAAAGAGAATTTAAGATGATCCACCATTCCAGTATGGAAATACATTCTTCCCTCAAGCCAAGTCAAGATTGAGATAAGAAGTCTACCAATTATATTAGACTCAACAGGCCAATATGTTTTTTTTAATGATGATTAAGAGTTGGTCTTCCATCTACTGGAGGAAACAGTTGAAAAACTTGATTGTGAAGAAAAGTGATTTCTAGAATCAAGACCATCAATCAAGAACCCATTTAGAGAATGAATTGCATCTCCACAGGAGATGACTGGATAGTATATTAATCACTAGAAATTAATTTTGCAAGAACCTGGAAAGTGATTTGTGTTGATCCAGAGATTCTGGTTGATTTTTCACAAGGACCACAGCCATTCTCATCTTAAATATCCAAGATTGAACATCTCTGGATAAAGCATGCATAGATCTCACACTGCTTACCTTGTCATTGTCTATTTTAGCCCAAGCTGGTATAGGAATACTGAACACCTGGAAAGGGTAACTGGTTATAGAATAAACAACAACCAAGATGCAAGATGCTGGGTTGGCCCAGGGAAAGGCAATTTTTCTGTGATAATGATTTATCACTTAAAGCTTTTATGTACACTGAGAGCTTTTGCACCAGAGCCAAATTCCTTGTGTGTCCAACCACACTTGGCCAATAAAGAATTCAATTCAATTCAATTCAATTCAATTCTACTCTACTCTACTCTACTCTACTCTACCCTACCCTACCCTACCCTACCCTACCCTACCCTACATTCTATTCTACTCTACTCTACTTTACTCTGTTTCAATCTATTCTTTTCTATTCTATTCTATTCTATTCTATTCTATTCTATTCTATTCTATTCTATTCTATTCTATTCTATTCTATTCTATTCTATTCTCCTCTCCTCTCCTCTCCTCTCCTTCAATCTATCCTATCTTATCTTCTCTTCTCTTCTCTTCTCTTCTATTCTATTCTATTCTATTCTATTCTATTCTCTCCCATCTCATCCCACCCCATCCCATCCCATCCCATCCCATTCTAGATAGCTAAACCTGCAAGACCAGAAGAGTTTGTGAATTTATGAAGGGGAACTTTATATTATGAAAGACTGATATAACACTCAGTTCTTTTAGAACTCCCCAATTTCTAGTAGAACATAACCATAATCGGCTTCCATCAGAAGGATCCTGAAGTCCATCCTTACCTTCACAAAAATGAATTTCTTCAGAATCTTGAAAACTAAGTAGGCCCAATAGAGGTGAAGACCTTGCAGGATCAATAGCTGCCCATTGTATACAAAATATGCGATGACAAGTGTCTGGGTATAGAACACAGGATAATATATCGAGGCCCGTAAAATCCTGTTAGGAAAACAAGAGGAGAAAAAGAAACAGTTGGATCGTTAGCTGTTGTTATTTCTCCATCCCTAAATTGAAGCATAAATATTCATATAGGTTATGAATATGTTTGGCAAACATGAGTCATCTAGAGAGTCATTTGTTTCTCAGGTGTTTGCTGAGAACAGGTGCAGCACCCAGAGGTCACAATTTTCAAGCCCAACAATCCTCAACGCAACTTACCAACATGGAAAGAGAATGAGCCGTGTGATAAAGAACACCACTGCGAAAATGACAAACAGAACACTGCAGGTATTGTCCCAGTGAGCATAGTTGAACAACTTTGCAGCCTGAAATCAAACAATTGGGAGAGAAGTTACTACCTTGGGATGATCTCATGAAAAGGGATCAACTGTAACCGGTTGGGGGAAAAATATACTTGATAAGTTGTGGCAGTGAAATTCCTTCTCAGGATAAAATATAAATGCCTTTAGAACAGCTCTAGCAAAGGTTGGAAGTGGCTTCTTTATATCTTTTTTCCAGCTTTTCTTTTTTCCTTGTTTTCCCCTTTATTTCTTACTTGTATATTTACAGCTTTTTTCTAGTTTTCTTTTCCTTCTTTAAATTTATATTATTTTTATTCTGTAAAAATGTCTTCAATGAATGTAAATCTATTGAAATAAATATATTATTCTCTCTCTCTCTCTCTCTCTCTCTCTCTCTCTCCCTCCCTCCCTCCCTCCCTCCCTCCCTCCCTCCCTCCCTCCCTCTCTCTTTACACACACACACACACACACACACACACACACACACCAAGATACATATATATTTCCCCTCAACCCCAATCAAAGAGGAATCCATTTTTATTATTTTCCTCATAATTTTAGGAAGAGATACTTTTTTGGGGTGTGGGGGGAATTACCCAATGTGATGCTGGACATTTGATCCAAAAATATTGCTAGTTGTTAGCTGTTGCGACAAAAAGTACAATATTTATATCTCAATTATAGGGATTGGTCTATGAGAAGTAACACCACTTCCCAATAATAGGGCTGAAGATCAGATCCCTACGACAAAAATAGTTTAGGACAAAGTCTTGAAGATTTGTGTTCATAGAACTGGTTTCAAAGTTGGTGTTCAGCTAGGTAGCAACACTGAGAGACAACCTTGGCTGTTGGGGGGAGTGGGGGAAAATGAGCTGGGTTAACTCAGGACGTAGTTTCTTTTTGGATGGAAGACCACTAGGTATGTTTTTTTCTGGACCGAATGAGCCAATGTTTCGTGTCAGGCCTTGTTAGGATAGCTCATCATTCAGACTCAGGGCTCAGATGTTGCTCCTCCATATACTACCATGAATGAAAAACAATACTAACGAAATCCTGGGACTTGGATAACTAAGCACAAGCACAGACAGATGCTGAGATTTACCTCCAGCCAGATATCTGCCGAATCATGGACAATCATCACCAGCGTTCCAAGACGGAGATAATTGGCACTATAGGAACAGAACATCAAGCCAAGGGCGGCAAAATGATGCACCACATGGGCCATGAAATCCTAAGAAAAAGAAATGGAGAAATGGACTTCTTAAAGCCAAGAAGATATTGGAAGATGGAGAGCGTTGGCTCTGTCTTAGGAAAATTAGGGTGGAGGGCCCAAAACCAACGCGCCCAAAAGGATTCTGGATGAGTCGATGAAAATAATGAACTCATCTATTTAACTCAGTGGTGGGATTCAAATAATTTAACAATCAGTTCTCTGCCCTAATGATTTCTTCCAACAACCAGTTCACCAAACGGCTCAGAAAATTAACATCTGGTTCTCCTGAACTGGCGCAAACTCCCTGAATCCCACCACTGATTTAATTGCTTCAAAGCCATAAAACAACAGCCCCAGGGATTGGTTTCGTGGAGAGAGGTTTTTTCCATGGAGAGGAAGGGTAGCGATTTCGTGTGCTGCCTGCATCCCGTGGATGGGGCTTCACTTGTTTGCGCTGTCCAGTTGCTGGCATGCCGCGGACTGGTGTTTATTTATTTATTTATTTGGTTTGTCAATTGCTTACAAGATAATAGGTATAAGTAAAAACATAGTTATGAATACATGGATACATATAAGAAAAATAAAAAAATATAAAAGAAACAATAGGACAGGGACGGTAGGCACGTTGGTGCGCTTATTCACGCCCCCGACAGACCTCTTAGGAAAGGGGTGAGGTCAATAGTAGACAGTCTAAGGTTAAAGTTTTTGGGGTTTGGGGAAGAAACCACAGAGTCAGGTAGAGTATTCCAGACAGTGATCACTCTGTTGCTGAAGTCGTATTGAAGTCGTATTGAAGTGTTGGTCCACAGAATGGGAGTTGGGGACCCCTGGCCATAAAAAGTAAAAGCTTCCCTTGTACAGTCATGTCCGACTCTAAGGGTCAGTGCTCATCTCTGTTTCTTGCCCGAGGTAGCCTGTTGTGGTTCGCTGGCAGCCTGTGCAGAAGGCAGCGGAATCGGACAGTGGGGAAGAACGGGGACCAGTCCAGGAGTCTGGAGAGCACTCAGTCCTGCATCTGATGCAGAGATGGGGCCAGGACCATCTGGGAGTGGGGTGCTGCCTCCGGAGCCTCCGGAGTCTGGCAGCAGCGAGGCAGAGGAACAAGGGGAGCCTGTTCCCAGTGCGCGTGTGCGCAGAGCTGCTAGAAAGCAAGAGCAGCTAAGACAAAAGGGGTGACTCGGGAGTAAGTCTTGGAGGTGATTGCCCCTCCCCTAAGGTATAAAGAAAGTACAAAGGTAGAGAAACCTTTGCAAGAAACAAAGTTGTTCACTCTGTTCGGATTAAACCTTGAAGCTCTGTGTGGACTTTGTACTTCGGTTGGTTTTTTATAGTTAATTTGGCTCTTTTGTTGTTGGCAGCAATTCAAAGGAGATAAAGGTGGGTGCTTATCTTGAGGGACTGTTTGGGACTCATTACAGGCTGAGAATAAGCATAATTCCCAGCACTGAAATAAAACAAGAGTTGTTTGGACTAAGCATGTGTTTAATTACAGTTGCAGGAAGCCTCGGTCAGAACATAGCCAACATTGTTCGAAGACATTTCTATGGTTGTGTGGACAACATGACTATACACCAAGGTGCACGGAATGCAGTTACTGTACCTTCCCACCCAAGTGGTACCTATTTATCTACTTGCATTTGCATGCGTTCAAATTGCTAGATGGGCAGGAGCTGAGGTGAGTATCAGAAGCTCACCCAGTCATGCAGGACTTGGGTTTTGAACCCAGGCTGTCACATTTCCAGATAACAAGCTCAGCATCTTTAATGGCTGAGCCATCACCTCCCCTCCCCCTCTCCCCCCCCACAGCAAAGCCACATACTGTATGTATAAAGACCTGTTCTTTTTGAATCTTGTTGAGAAATAATGGTGGGAAATGGTGCACGTCACTTGGATGAGTAAGAAATGAGGAGGAGTAGAAGATATTCTGCAAGAAAACAGCTGTGATGGGCAATGGGGAGCATAGCTTAATTTGGAGGCAAGCCAATTTTACAGGCATAAGAGAATGACAAGAAGAAAGGCCTAAGGTTATTTAGAAGATAATTGAGTAAATCTGAATAAGTCTTAGCTGACTGTGACTTTTTTATTTACTTTAGTGGTGCCCAATGTTACAAATAATCTAAGCCACCCTGAATTTCAGAACAAGAATGGCTATTACATTTACAAAGGATTCAGTCTGCTATATATGTGTCTTCCTAACAGTTATCTAGCATCCTGGAAACCAGGAACTGAAAATGGCTTGCATCCCATCCCCAAACAGATGAAGTTGTCAATCCTCCTTACCTTCCTTTTAGTGTCAGTTCCAAGAGTAAAGAGCAATGACCAATAGAAGCTCATTTGGAGCATGTAGTACCAATACTGGGAGGGGAGCATGGGCTGCAAAGAGAGTGTGAAAAGAGAAAAGGCAATTACTTTTTTGGTTAGAGAGGGAGTACATTTGTTCCAGAGCAGGAGAGAAAGTGTTGATAATAGAACATTGCACACCAAAACAGCTAGACAAAGAACAGTTTTTTTCTACCCATGACATCACTGCTAAAGACCTAATTCCCACCACATGTCTTATGCCCTGGAATGTCAAACCACATAGTAGGGCTGCATTACTACAGTCTTATTCTTCACATCTTTCTTATTGACTATTCCCTTAGCACCTTATAAGTATAACTTTGTTGTTGGCATCATAAGATTTATGTTGATTGCTTTTATATAGTATCCTATTATGGTTTATGTTGATTGTATTTTAGGATTATGATCATGATTTATCACTTCTTGCTTTTATGTACATTGAGAGCTTATGTATCAGAGACAAATTCCTTGTGTCCAATCACATTTAGCCAATAAAGAATTCCTACTCTACTCTACCCTACCCTACCCTAGATCTAATCTAATTTAATCTAATGGAACAAGGATTGGAACAATAAATACTAGAAGAAGAGCAAAGCCTGGGGAATAGAGTCAAGAGAGGAATCAGTTTGGAATCAATACATCCACACAAGCAGTCCAGCCCTCCTTGAATCCCATTAAATCTTAATTAGCACCAATTTAATGCTGACTTTTAGTTGACTAGATTCTTGTGTCTAGGCATGAGCAATGAATCTTCTTAACTGGAACTTAA